AAGGAGGAAGAGGAAAGGTTTGTTCCCAAGGGAAACAGAAATAATAGGAAGACCAAAACGAGTCCTTGGTTTACCCGAAGGTGTAGGGAGGCAAAAACTAAGTGCAACAGAGAATGGAAAAGGTACAGGAGGCATAGGACCCAGGAAAACAAGGAGATTAGTAGAAGAGCCAGAAACGAGTATGCATCGAAAGTCAAATCTGACCCGAAACTGCTGTATAGCCACATTAGGAGGAAGACAACAGTCAAGGACCAGGTGATAAGGCTGGGGAAAGAAGGTGGAGAACTCACGATAAACGATCAAGAGGTATGTGAGGAGCTCAACACGAGATTTAAGGAAGTATTTACAGTAGAGACAGGAAGGCCTCTGGGGGGACAGACCAGATGGGGACACCAGCAAGGAATACACCAACAAGTGTTGGACGACATACATACAGATGAGGAGGAGGTGAAGAAACTGCTAAGGGACATCGATACCTCAAAGGCAATAGGACCGGACAACATCTCCACGTGGGTCCTTAGAGAGGGAGCAGATATGTTGTGCTTGCCACTTACCACAATCTTCAACACGTCCCTGGAAACTGGGCAACTACATGAGGTATGGAAGACGGCAAATGTAGTTCCCATTTTTAAAAAAGGAGACAGAAAAGAGGCACTAAACTATAGACCTGTGTCAGTGACGTGTATAGTATGCAAAGTTATGGAGAAGATTATCAGTAGGAGAGTGGTGGAGCACCTGGAACGAAACAAGAGTATAAATGCCAACCAGCACGGATTCATGGAAGGCAAATCCTGTGTCACAAACCTTCTGGAGTTTTATGATAAAATAACAGAAGTAAGACACGAGAGAGAGAGGTGGGTTGATTGCATCTTCTTGGACTGCAAGAAGGCCTTTGACACAGTTCCTCACAAGAGATTAGTGCAGAAGCTAGAGGATCAGGCGCATAACAGGAAGGGCACTGCAATGGATCAGAGAATACCTGACAGGGAGGCAACAACGAGTCATGGTACGTAATGATGTAAGCACCTGTGACGAGCGGGGTCCCACAGGGGTCGGTCCTAGGACCAGTGCTATTTTTGGTATATGTGAACGACATGATGGAAGGGTTAGACTCAGAAGTGTCCCTGTTTGCAGATGATGTGAAGTTAATGAAGAGAATTAAATCAGATGAGGACCAGGCAGGACTTCAAAGAGACCTGGACAGACTGGACACCTGGTCCAGCAAATGGCTTCTCGAATTTAATCCTGCCAAATGCAAAGTCATGAAGATAGGGGAAGGGCACAGAAGACCACAGACAGAGTATAGGCTAGGTGGCCAAAGACTGCAAACCTCACTCAAGGAGAAAGATCTTGGGGTGAGTATAACACCGAGCATGTCTCCGGAAGCACACATCAACCAGATAACTGCTGCAGCATATGGGCGCCTGGCAAACCTGAGAATAGCATTCCGATACCTTAGTGAGGAATCCTTCAAGACACTGTACACCGTGTATGTCAGGCCCATACTGGAGTATGCAGCACCTGTTTGGAACCCGCACTTGATAAAACACGTCAAGAAACTAGAGAAAGTACAAAGGTTTGCGACAAGGTTAGTTCCAGAGCTAAGGGGAATGTCCTATGAAGAAAGATTAAGGGAAATCGGCCTGACGACACTGGAGGACAGGAGGGTCAGGGGAGACATGATAACTACATATAAAATACTGCATGGAATCGACAAGGTGGACAAAGACAAGATGTTCCAGGGAGGGGACACAGAAACAAGAGGCCACAATTGGAAGTTGAAGACACAAATGAGTCAGAGAGATATTAGGAAGTATTTCTTCTGTTATAGAGTTGTCAGGCAGTGGAATAGCCTAGAAAATGACGTAGTGGAGGCAGGAACCATACACAGTTTTAAGACGAGGTTTGATAAAGCTCATGGAGCGGTGAGAGAGAGGGCCCAGTAGCAACCGGTGAAGAGGCGGGGCCAGGAGCTAAGACTCGACCCCTGCAACCACAAATAGGTGAGTACAAATAGGTGAGTACACACACACACACACACACACACACACACACACACACACACACACACACACACACACACACACACACTACAGTGCCTACAGGAAGGTAGAGAAGTATCGCACACTGCAAGTACGTGGGACCCCAGTGCCAGAAGTATAGTACTGAGCCTATTTGTGGTTGTTTGGGGAGACTTTGGACTGGCACTGTGACACTGATAGGAAATATAAACACAAATGCAGTATAATGTGATCCTTTATAGACAACGTTTCACCCACACAGTGGGCTTTTTCAAGTCACACACGGATCTACCTGGGGTTGGAAGGTACGGGAGTATTTATAGTTCAGAATGTTGAGGTCAGGTGGAGAATGCTGCATCTGATGATCTACCGGGTGGGGTTATAGAGTCTTGGGTAGCTAGGCGGGGATAAGCAACGTTGTCTATAAAGGATCACATTATACTGCATTTGTGTTTATATTTCCATTGTGTCGGTATTTTATACCATTTATTTCCATCGTGACACTGATAGTTGACGGTCTAAATCCGGCTCTGGAGAGCTGAATATCATAATAGAACACTCAACATTTAGTAAAGGGGAGTAACGGGAAAGGAACTTTAGCAGTGCCACACATATCCCTGAAGCGTGTATGTGCATATGCCAGGAAAAACACGCACACATTGTAAGCAAGTTGATTCAGGCATACACGGGTACTGGGCATGGAGTGTCATAAATAGCAACGTTGTTGGAGAAAATCTAGTGTAGAGAAATTGCAGAGAGCCCAAAAAGCCAGGTCATTTATTTTACTGCTAAATTAAGGTAGAATCCAGGAAAGTAGTTTGACGAGAGAGTAACGCACACACACACACGTACATGCACACACATGTGAACATAAGAGGGCATAAATTCTTACACAAACACTTGTAGTCCCTACCCTAACACACACATCTCACATACTCTCTCCCACACCCCCTTACCCAGAGTCTCACTCACACTCTCACACACACTCACATCCACACTCTCTCATTAACACTCACTCACACACACTTGTTCTCTCCCTCTCTCTCCTTTCATCTCTTCTATCTCCCTCTCTCTCTCTCTCTCTCTCTCTCTCTTCTCTCTCTCTCTCTCTCTCTCTCCCTCTCTCCTATTCCATTTTCTCTCCCTCTCTCCTGTCCCACTATGTCTCCCTCCTCCTCCTCCTCCTATACCTCCTCCCCCTCCTCCATCTCCTCCTTTACCTCCTCTACCTTCTCCCCTCCCCACTTCCCTCACTTCCTAGGCCTACAAGCACTTTAAAGGCTGATCCTACCCAACTCACACGCTCTCACACACTCCCAACCACTCTTACACACTCTCCCACACTCTCTCACACTCTCACACATTCCCCCACACACACTCACACTCTCTCACACTCCCTTCCCCTCTAATTCTCTCTCTCTTACTCTATCTCTCACTCTCACTCCCACACTCTCACACTCACTCACGCTCTCTCTTACACTCTCTTTTATGCTCTCTCTCACACACTCTCTCTCTCACACTCTCGCTCTCAGACTCTTCCTCACACTCCCTCGCGCCTTAGCTCACACTCTCACAATCACGCTTCCTCACACCTCCCACACTCTCTCACAATTTCACACTCTCTTACTCTTTCACACGAACACTTCCTCACTCTCTCACACTCTCTCCCTCGCACTCTCCACATTCTCTCACAATCTTACACTCTCTCATACTCTCACACTCTTTCGCACTCCCTCACACTCCCATACTCTGGCACACTCTCACACACACTCTCTCTCTCACACTCTCGCTCTCAGACTCTTCCTCACACTCCCTCGCGCCTTAGCTCACACTCTCACAATCACGCTTCCTCACACTCTCCCACACTCTCTCACAATCTCACACTCTCATACTCTTTCACACGAACACTTCCTCACTCTCTCACACTCTCTCCCTCGCACTCTCACACTTTCTCACAATCTTACACTCTCTCATACTCTCACACTCTTCGCACTCCCTCACACTCCCATACTCTGGCACACTCTCACACTCTCTCACACCTCCCTCACACTTACGCTCTCTCACTCACACTCTCTCACTTACACCCACTCACACTCAGCCATACCCCACACTCTCACTCACACTCTCTCACTCACATTTTCACAATCACACTCTTTCAGTCACACTTTCTCACTCACACTAACTCGCCCACACTCTCACCAACACTCCCGCTCTCACTCTCCCACTCCTTCCCACCCACACTCTCCCACTCCTTCCCACCCACACTCTCCCACTCCTTCCCACCCACACTCTCCCACTCCTTCCCACCCATACTCTCTCACTCACACACTCTCACTCACACACACACACACACACACACTCTCTCTCTCTCTTTTCCTCTCCTATCCCACTTTCTCTCCCTCTTCATCTTCCTTCTCATCCTCCCTACTCCTCCTACTCCTCTCCCTCCAAAGCTTTCCCCCCCCTGTCCCCCCTAACCTTCCCCTCATCTCTCTTCCCTCTTCTGCTGTTCCCCCTCCCACTCACTATCCTCTTCCTCTCCCTGCCTCGTCCCTCCTCCCTCCCGACAGCAAACACGCCCCTCCACACATGCAGTCTTGGCATAAGCTCTTCCTTCTGTAGAGAAAAAAAAAATTGGGATACCAAAACCCAGGACGGAGAACCAGAGGACTGGTGGATGAAGAGAGGGGTGGATCTAGGAGAGAAGACTGGAAGGCAGAGCTCACAACAGGAGAGGACCGGTGTGGGTGGATGCTCGAAGAGCTCAGCAAGAAAATGGAAGAGAAAATAGCTGAGGAGAACAGGAAATGGGAGTTACAAATCACAGCAGTATAAGCTAAGATATAGAGCTTAGTAGAAAAACTAAAAAGTCTCAAACAGCCTAAAGAACCAAAGGACAGTACAGCCACAGCACCAAGAACTGCTACATCAGTCACAGTTGAAGGTATAGTAGGGAACAAAGGAGCTATACTGTATGCGATGGCTCTATCAGACCCAAGTGGGGCCTGGGATAAGGCAAAGAGAACAGCAGAAACTAAAGATGGGACCAAAGACAGCAAAGGAGCTAAGCTATACACAGAGGCTCTAACAGACAACTGCTGTGTCAAGGAACAGATAAGCACAAGGACACCAAATAGGGAAGAGACAGTAGGAAGCAACACATCAATGGCAAGAACTAATTCGTATCAGAGGATTCTCAGGGAAGTACAGTGAGAGGACGAAAGGGAGAAGGCAGTTTTTGTCTATGGGGTCCAAGAAATAGATGGGGAAACTTACGAAACAAGGAAACAGGAGAATAAAAAAACAATTGAAAGCATCATGAAAGCAATAGGAGGAGACGACATGACCCAGCTGACAAATTTTCAGAAAATTGGGTGGTTTGCAAGAGGAAAAAAAACATCCAGTCAAAGTGATTTTCAAGGCAGAGTCAGCCCAAAACCGGATCCTGCAGGAGAAAGCATGCCTAAGGGACAAACTGGAGTTCCAGAATGTGTACCACGACCGAGACAGAACACAAGAAAAAAGGAGGATACTGAAGGAGAGGGTGCAACGTCGCAAGGAGGAATGGAAGGCAAGGAAGGTGGGGAGTAGGGGAAACCAAGCCCAGGTGGAAGAACAAACACAACCCTCTCCAGTACCACCCACAGATGGTACCCATCCATGGCTATCCCAAACCAATCAAACAACCTAACCCAAAACCCACTCACTGTACCCTCTGCCCCCATCCCCCTCAGCACAAACCCCACCCCTACAGAATCCCACAGTAACCACACAATGCACCCCCTCCCCACCCCCTCACAACAAACCCAACCCCCACAGTAACCCACACACTGTACCCTCTATCCCCATCCCCCTCACCACAACTCTCACCCCCAGTGTAACCCCCATAGGCCCTCTTCCATCCCCCCAACACCACCCTCACCCTTAATGCAACCCCCATAGGCCCTCTGCCCCCACCCCCACACCACAGGCCACACCCACACAGCAACCTCCTATAGGCCCCCACCAGGGCACCTGCTACCCCTGACCCACCATTCTCCTCAGACCACAGTTATAGAAAAAGTTGAAGGTTTGGTACATGAACCAGGATAGAATAATGAATAAATGTGAGGAGTGGCATGAAAGAATCAAGATGTCCCCAGTCATCACAGCAGTCACAGAAACAATACTCACTGGGACCATAACAGATGCAATCTTCCCACCTGGATATCAGATCCTGAAGAAGGATAGAAGGAGCAGAGGGGAAGGAGGGGTTGCACTGCTAATTAAAAACCGGTGGGGTTATCAAAAAATGGAAGGAATGGGCGAGACTGGAGAACGGGACTACACAGTAGGTACAGTTCAATCAAAGGGAACACAAGGTAGTTATTGCAGTGATGTAAAACCCACCACATAACTGCAAGAGGCCAAGAGAGGAATATGATGAGTGCAACAGAGCAGTGGTGGACACACTAGCTGAGGTGGCAAGAAGAGCTCACTCGAGAAAAGCGAAATTACTGGTTATGGGTGGCTTCAACCAAAGGGAGATTGATTGGGAAAACCTGGAGCCACATGGGGGTCTCGAAACATGGAGAGCCAAGATGATGGATGTGGTACTGGGAAACTTCATGCACCAATATGTTAGGGACACTACCAGAGAGAGAGGGAAGGATGACCCAGCAACACTGGACCTTGTGTTCACCCTGAGTGGCTCAGACATTGAGGACATCACATATGAAAGGCCCCTTGGAGCTAGTGACCATGTGGTTCTGAGCTTTGAACACATAATAGAGCTACAAGTGGAGATGGTAACAGGAGTAGAAAGGGAAAAGCCAAACTATTAAAGGGGGGACTACACAGGTATGAGGACATTCCTGCAGGAGGTTCAGTTGGTAGGAAAGTCAGTAAACAAAATGATGCACTTCATAACAAAATGCAAGGAGTTAGGTAAGACACATATGCAACAGTTAGGTATCTTTATTATGAAACGTTTCGCCTACACAGTAGGCTTCTTCAGTCAAGTACAGAAAAGTTGATAGAAGCAGAAGATACTTGAAGACGATGTAATCAGTCCATCACCCTTAAAGTTTTGAGGTGGTCAGTCCCTCAGTCTGGAGAAGAGCATTGTTCCATAGTATGAAACAATATGGAGATGAAGTGACAGAATGGAGCTTTTTATAGCGCCAAGAGGTGAGACGTAGGCCACTAGGAGAGGTAAGAAATCAGATGTTGAAAGGTCAGGTCCCTCTCAAATCCAGCCGCTCTCACTAGTGGAAGTTGTCGAAGTTGATTGCAGGTCTGTACCAAGATTCCCTTGTGTTGCAGTGTCTGACAGATTGAACATTAAAATGGTATAAAATACCGACAGGTTGTTAGGTAAGACACATATGCAACAGTTAGGTATCTTTATTATGAAACGTTTCGCCTACACAGTAGGCTTCTTCAGTCAAGTACAGAAAAGTTGATAGAAGCAGAAGATACTTGAAGACGATGTAATCAGTCCATCACCCTTGGTACAGACCTGCAATCAACTTCGACAACTTCCACTAGTGAGAGCGGCTGGATTTGAGAGGGACCTGACCTTTCAACATCTGATTTCTTACCTCTCCTAGTGGCCTACGTCTCACCTCTTGGCGCTATAAAAAGCTCCATTCTGTCACTTCATCTCCATATTGTTTCATACTATGGAACAATGCTCTTCTCCAGACTGAGGGACTGACCACCCCAAACTTTAAGGGTGATGGACTGATTACATCGTCTTCAAGTATCTTCTGCTTCTATCAACTTTTCTGTACTTGACTGAAGAAGCCTACTGTGTAGGCGAAACGTTTCATAATAAAGATACCTAACTGTTGCATATGTGTCTTACCTAACAACCTGTCGGTATTTTATACCATTTTAATGTTCAAAATGCAAGGAGGCAGAGGAAAGGTTTGTTCCCAGGGGTAACAGAAATAATGGGAAGAACAGAACGTTCCCTTTGTTTACCCGAAGGTGTAGGGAGGAAAAAAACTAAGTGAGCTAGATAATGGGAAAAGTACAGAAGGCAAAGGACTCAGGAAAATAAAGAAATTAGTGGATGAGCTTGAAACGAGAATGCACAGATAAGGAGGGAGGCCCAGCAGCAGTACGAAAAAGATATAGCATCGAAAGTCAAATCTGACCCGAAACTGTTTCACAGCCACATCAGGAGGAAGACAACAATCAAGAACCAGGAAATCAGGCTCAGGAAAGAAGGTGGGGAGCTGATAAGAAATGACCAAGAAGTATGTGACGAGCTCAACATGAGATTTCAGAAAGTATATACAGTGGAAGATGAAATGATACTGGGAAGACAAAACAGTGGATTACACCAACAAGGGATATACCAACAAATGTTGGATGAAATGCACACAACTGAGGAGGAGGTGAAGAAGCTCTTAAGGGACATTGATACCTCCAAAGCGGTGGGACCGGGGGTCCTTAGAGAGGGAGCAGAGACACTGTGTGTGCCACTAACCACAATCTTCAGCACATCCTTTGAAACTCAGCAACTAACTGAGGTATGGAAGATGGCAAATGCAATCCCCATCTTTAAGAAAGGAAATAGAAATGAAGCACTAAACTATAGACCAGTGTCACTGACGTGTATAGTATGCAAAATTTTGGAGAAGATTATCAGGAGGAGAGTGGAGGAGCACCTGGAGCAGAACAAGATTATAAACGACAGCCAGCACAGATTCATTGAAGGTAGGTCTTGTGTCACAAACCTACTAGAGTTTTATGACAAGGTAACTGAAGTTAGAAATGAAAGGGAGGGTGGTTTAATTGCATTTTCTTGGACTGCAAGAAGGCTTTCGAGACAGTTCCTCACAAGAGATTAGTACAGAAGCTAGAAGGTCAGGCACATATAACAGGAAGGGCACTGCAATGGATTAGTGAATACCTAATAGGGAGGCAACAGCGAGTCATGGTCCGTGATGAGGTATCACAGTGGGCGCCTGTGACGAGCGGGGTCCCACAGGGGTCAGTCCTGAGACCAGCACAACTCTTGGTATATGTGAAGACATGACGAAAGGGATAGACTCAGAAGTGTCCCAGTTTGCAGACAATGTGAAGAATGAGGAGAATTAAATCAGATGCGGACCAGACAGGTCTACAAAGAGACCTGGACAGGATGGACACGTGGTTAAGCAACTGGCTCCTAGAATTTAACTCCGCCAAATGCAAAGTCATGAAGATCGGAGAAGGGCAAAGAAAACCGCAGGCGGCCTATGCTCTGTCTGCACACATTAAATGATAACTGCTGCGGCATATGGGCACCTGGCAAACTTGAGAATAGCGCTCCTGTACCTCAGGAAAGAATCGTTCAAGACTTTATACACTGTGTATGTCAGGCTCATAATGGAGTACACTGCACCAGTTTGGAACCCAAACCTAGTGAAACACGTCAAGAAATTAGAGAAAGTGCAAAGGTTTGCAACAAGGCTGGTTCCAGAGCTAAGGGGAATGTCCTACGAAGAGAGGTTAAATGAAATAGGCCTGACGACACTGGAGGACAGGAGGAGTCAGGGGAGACATGATGACAACAAACAATATACTGCATGGAATAGACAAGGTGGACAGAGACAGGATGTTCTAGATGTGGGACACAGAAACAAGGGGTCACAATTGGAAGCTGAAGACCCAGATGAGTCAAAGGGATGTTAGGATGTATTTCTTCAGCTACAGAGTTTTTAGGAAATGGAATAGTCTGGCAAGCGATGTAGTGAAGGCAGTAACCATAAATAGTTTTAAGACGAGGTATGATAAAGCTCATGGAGCAGGGAGAGGCAGGACCCAATGTCGGTCAGTGAAGAGGCGGGGCCAGGAGCTGAGTCTCGACCCCTGCAACCACAATTAGGTGAGTACAATTAGGTGAGTACACACACACACATATATTGAATTAATTACAACACTACAACTGGCTGACAAATTTACTGGCATTCTATAGTATAACATCTGAGGCAGGTGATAACGATAAATATTATGATATTAAGCATTAAGATTTTTGTTAAGCTTTTGATAAAGTACCACACAAAAGACTTGAAGTAAGGGGCAGCTCAGGGTATTGGGAAAAAAGGCCTGTCATGGATCGAGGTGTGGCTGACCAACAGGAGACAGAGAGTGTGCATAAATGAGGTGAAATCTGAGCATGGATCAGTAAAAAGTGGCGTCCCACAAGAATCAGTGTTAGCCCGTTGTTGTTCATAGTATTCATTAATGACTTCACACGTCACAAAAATAGACAGGACTATTGATTCAGAGGATGAAGCCACTTAATTTCAGGAAGATTTCGAGAATATAAATAACCCTAGCACTTATAAACTAAATAATAAAGAACTTGATCATAAAGAATCCGAACATGACATAGAAGTTAAGGTAAGAAACAGCTTGAAACTAAAACAGCAATGCTTACGTCGTAATCAGGCAAAAGACTGCAGGGATTTATATATATAAGTATGAGCAGAGGTTATACTACAGCTTTACACATCATTAGATAGACCTCACTTATATTACGTAGCTTAGTTCTTCATATAACACAATGGATATAAATTCGTTAGATAACATTCAGAGAAGAATGACAAAATTTATCCATTGCATAAGAAATCTTCCAAATGAAGAAAACCGAAATCCCTTAACCAACTTTCTCTTGTAAGGCGTAGAATGATGAAAGACATGACTGAAGTGTATAAGTAGAAGATGGGCATAAATAAAGAAGATATAAAAAAAAAAGAAAAAAAAAGAAGAAAACTGGAATTAATGGACCCCAATTAAGATAAGATAAGATAAGATTTCGTTCGGATTTTTAACCCCGGAGGGTTAGCCACCCAGGATAACCCAAGAAAGTCAGTGCGTCATCGAGGACTGTCTAACTTAATTCCATTGGGGTCCTTAATCTTGTCCCCCAGGATGCGACCCACACCAGTCGACTAACACCCAGGTACCTATTTGCTGCTAGGTGAACAGGACAACAGGTGTAAGGAAACGTGTCGGAATGTTTCCACCCGCCGGGAATCGAACCCGGGCCCTCCGTGTGTGATAAAGGTTAGATAAAGGTTAGATAAACACATGAGTGAGAGAGAGGTTGCATTTGAGTGCAGTGACGTCTTCTTTGCAGGTTCGCCGGTAAAATCACCCGGCCCGAGCCTGTTCCAGATGGTGGCCCAGTCATGGCTCCCTTTCTCGGGAATGTCTCAGACCAATGTCTGCCATGGGAGGAGGTACAAGTACATCCTCGTTTTCTAGGACTAGCTGTCCCCATGCCTAGCCCCATTCCCTGCTCCCATGGGGCTCGCAGGTTGTGGCAGCAGCACAGCAGCAGTCGATGTTAGGAGGTGCAAAGGCAGCAAACACTACAGGATCCTTTTCAAGCCAGAACCCAGCTTTGAGCCGAGGCCCAAGAACTGGGGAGGCTCAAGAATGTCTCTTTCTGTAAGTGTTGTTGCTGCTTCTGCTGCTGCTACTTCACTAGTCCATTCAATTCAGTAACGTCTTTGATAGAGGTGTGTTTACGGTGGAAACATTATATTACTTCTGTCAAGATCTCACTATGAATAGTAGTCCCACACCTCTGACTTCCACAGCAGGCGTCTGTACCATCCCCAGTGGATACCATCTCAAGAAATATATAAGGGAAAACATGCAGAAATCTGTCGGTATACCTCAATTATTACGACCCAGGTAATCAAGGCCTGTATCCTGGGTGTAAAAAGGGATCTTGGAGCAAAATAAATACAGCAGGAAAAAACTGAATTATATTATCCTTCACCAAGTATAAACAGAAGTGTGTACACTATATAGACTATGTACAGCAAATAGGTATTAGTACTCCACGGTAGTCAAGGCAGAGCTGCAGCCAAGAGACAAGATAAACAACTGTGCTTCAACCAGTAGAAGAATGAAAATGACAAGAGTGAAAACGTGAGTGGTAGCCATGTCACCTCCACAGTTGCCAGATCCACATTTTGATTGGCTGAACCTAGGTATTGATCTGACGATGGGCCCCGATCGTCAGACCCTAGTACCTGGTTTGTTGGTTGGGGAGATAGCCTATGTGAGAATGTGTACATACTCCAAATAAAGGTTACATACTCTTTGCATGCAACATGAATGAACATCGAAAAGCCAGCAACAGTTGCTACTTAAAGTACACCTGTGTCCTTCATAGGAACTCTCCAGGACTTTTGATAAACTGGAAAAAGGAATAACGTGTTCTCACGGAACAAGATGTTAGAAGCTGATGATATCTAGATGCCTCACTAATCATCGTCACTGACACCATATAATATAATAGTGGAAATTACATAAATATATCATTTATCAGGTCACTATGTGTCACATCCCACTCTCAGCCTATGTGTTAGAGGTAATCAAGGTCCCAGGACCGAAATGTTTTCTATTTTCAGGTGTTTGCTAACGTGTCTTTTTAAACCAATTTGGCGGTATCATGTACCAAGGTTTATACCACAGCCTCTCTCCCCACAGTTGATAACTGCTTTCTGCATAGCATCGGGGTTGGTGAGCAGCGCTGTGGTTTGCGCCACGCCTTGGGTCAAGAGACCGATGTCGCCAACAGTCCGGCTCTCTATCTCCCTTGCATCTGCTAACACTGTTTTCTCATTTTCCTTGGCTGTTGGTGAGTGTACCTTGCAGTGGGTGAGTATAGCAGACAGTTTGTGAGTGTATCCGACTTCCTGGCTGTTGGTGAGTGAATCTGACTGTTTGTGAGTGCATATGGCTCTTAGTGATTCACCCTGATGTTTTGGCAACCGTTCATGGCTGTTTGAGAGTCAGCTTGACTGTTAAACAGTGTACATGGCTGTTATAGAGATACCCTGGCTGTTGGAAAGCGCACGTCACTGTTGGTGTGCGTATATAACAGTTAGGGGAGAGTAGATTTCTGATAAAGAGTGTACTCACCTATTAATATTCACCAGTTTGTGGTTGCAGGGGTCGAGACATATCTCCTAGCCCCGCCTCTTCACTAATCACTACTAGGTCCAATCTCTCTCACAGCTCCAAGAGCCTTATCGAGCCTCTTCTTATAAATATGTATTGATACTGCCTCCACTTCTTCACTCTTCAGAGTGCTCCACTTCCTGACAACTCTGTGTCTGTAGAAATACTTACTAACATCCATATGATTCATCTGACTTTCCAACTTCTAGTTGTGTCCCCTTGTTCCTGTATCCCATTAGAAATATGCTGGCCCCTGTTCACTTTAGAAACTCCTATCAATATTTTATACATCGTTATCGTTTCCCTTCTATCCCTCCTTTCCTCTTGTGTTGTCATGTGAGCGCCCTTATCCTCTTCCTGACAGGACATACCCCTAAGCTCCGGAACTAGTCCTGACATAGTTGATCAGGTGTAAATGCTGCTTACTCAAGTACGGGTCTGACGTAAATGTACGGTGTCGAGAATGACCCTTAATCAGCTGCTGAAATGCTATTCTAAGGTTTGCCTGGCGAAAGTCTGAAGTGCTCGTACCGAGAACCAGAGTTGTGCTCGGTACGACACTCACTCCATTATCTTTTTCTCGAGAAAGGTTTGAAGTTTTTGATTCCTTTTCCTGTGCTCCTCCCGCAGTCTTCTTTGGCCTTCCACAATCTTCATGACTTAGTACATGGTGGGGCTAAACGCCTCTCTTTCTCTCTCTGTTTTACTGCTGTCGTCTTGTCGTAAAAATTCGGTAATTTTGTGACACAGAATTTCCCCATCCTTGAAACTGTGCTGGTTGTCCACCACTCTTATCCTGATAATCTTCTCCATGACTTTGCATACTATATATGTCAGTGACACTAGTCTGTAGTTTAATGTAGCGTGTCTGTCTCCTGTCTTAAAAACTGGGATTACATTTGCTATCTTACACACCTCAGGTAGTTTGCCTGCTTCAGTAGATGTGTTGATGAGCGTTGTTAGTGCCACACACAACGATTCTGCTTCCTCTCTCAGGAGCTACAGAGAGATGTTGTTCGGTCCCACCTTCTTTCAGATATCTAGTTCGTTTAGCAGCCTCTTCACCTCCTCCTCGGTTGTGTTTATAGTGTCCACCACTTGTTGGTGTAGCCCCTCCATTCCAGAAAATACTTCTTTTAATCTCATGTTGAGCTCTTCACATACTTCTAGGTCATTTCCTGTGATCTTCCCTCCTTCCTACCTCATTCTGGTTATCTAGTCCATGACTGTTCTTTTCCTCCTGATGTGGATGTACAACAGCTTCGGGTCAGACTTGGCTTACTAGTGAAAAGGCGGCGCCAAGAGCTGTGAATCGACCCGTACAACCACAGTTAGGTGAGTACAATTTGGTGAGCACACACACACACACATTTTCTTGGACTGCAAGAATGCTTTCGGCACAGTTCCGCATTAGAGACTAGTACAAAAGCTAGAGAAACAGACAGGAATAGCAGGAAAAGCACCGCAATGAATCAGGGAATTGATGACAGGAAGAAATCAACGAGTGATGGTACGTGACAAGGTGTCGGAGTGGGCGCATGTGTCTAGTGGGTCGACAAGGGTTTCCATTCTATGTGAATGACATGCCACATGGGATATATTCAAAGGTGTCCCTGTTCGCAGATGATATAAAAATAATGAAGAGAATACAGGCAGACGAGGATCAGCAAAGACTAGAATAAAATAAAATGTCAATAAAATGTCACATTAGTTGCACTTGTGTCCTTTTACTTTACATGTTGCAGTGGTCCTCCTTTCTTATGTTATTTTCTTAGTTCGAGACTTTTACAAGTTTGACCGTAATAAACTTTATCGCAAATTTTGCAAGGAGTGGTATTGATCAATAATAATTGATCAATACCACTCAATTGTGGTTCTCGCTTACCATAAGGCAGGCCAGTACAACATGGGTTCGAATCCTTGGCTAGCGCAGTGTTGTTATTGATCAATACCACTCGTTCGTGATTATAATAATATATATATATATATATATATATATATATATATATATATCATAGATTTATTGAAATACTAAATATATTTAAGGTGACCAATGCTATATATATAGCAGAATTTACCTTAAACAAATTGTGTTAGTTTTAGAGAGTTTCGGTGAGGTTTCAGTGTTTGTTTTGGTCAAAAAAATAAAAATCTTTATATCACTATTAAAAAATAAATAACTATAAATCCGAAAAATAAAGTGTTTAGAAAAGCTAAGCTTAATTTTCAAGGGAGTTGGTTTTTTCGGCCGAAAAGGCCGAGCTTACTTAAAAAATAATTTTTTATAAAACAATTTTAAATTTTTCTTCAAAACTAACAAATAAACCTCACTCAACCTTATTTAAACTAACAATTTTGTCCCTAATATTTTGACATACTTAGCATAGGCTAATTCAAAGTTATTTACTATTACTTAAAATTAATGATTTTTCTTTTGTAATGGTCAGATCAATTTCCGCTTTTTTTTATACCAATAAAGAAATTTTCATTCGGTTATTTTCATAGTTAACCATTGCCAAATAAACTAAACGATTACATTAGTTTAAGTTAGTTTAGGTGAGGTTTCTAAGTTGATTTTGATTTTTAAATTAAACCATCTATATCACCATGAATGACAACAAATTGTCCATCATTCTGCAAGATAACTTTTGGAAAAAGTTTAAATTTTTTTAGGTGTTCGGTCTATTCAGAACGTTAGACTTTTAGGAACGACATATACGTCAATACGTTTTCGCCGACGCAGATGCACCTTCACTGCAAGGCCTTTTATCGCTGTTATTGAAGTTATCTAAACCGCCAGATAGTCAACAGTCGTTTTAGTTGTGAAACAACATCCATGTTTTCCTGTAGGGCTTTAATGCATTTTGACTTGACTAGTAAACAACTGGGAATGAAGCTCTGAATATGTCACTTGTCCTCTTTCTCCTCTCTACCAGCTGTGCTAATCAACTCCTATTTGCCTGCTGTCCACGAAATTCATTTAAGCAACTGCTTAAAACTGTCTATCGAAGCCGTGCGTATGGGCAGCATCTTGGTACAGATCCTCCACCTGCTGGTTGTGGCCCTCAACCACTATATCGGGACTCTCCGACCACTCCACTACGCTGCCACCATGACACCATTCATGCTTAAGATTATTCTCCTCGCTCTGTGGGTGATACCTAGTAAGTAACTGGAGGAGCTTCGTCTCTTCAACGAGGGAACGGGTGCCTTGAAATATATAAATATTTACTTAAACTGAATACGATTATATTTGCTTATACGGGGTCATATTGCTCCAGTTTTGATTATATGTCGATACACTCGAGAAGAAAACCTGAATATCGGGTTTTGTAAATTACGGTAAGAATGCCGTCTTCATCCCTTGGGAACGTATCATACATTTCGGAATTTATAAATAGATTATATGCTTAAACATATTAGTTTATTTATTGACCATCATGCTTGATGATTTGGTGGTGCTTATGCAAACACTTGTGTTAACAGAGGAAGCTCACTGTTTTTATTTGATTGGTGAAAATTATAGGTCAATGACGAAAAAGTAATGTTCTCCAAAAATCCTTTTATTTACACATTTAAAAGGGAAAATAAATGCCTGTATCAAAATATATGAGCAATGTTATATGAAGTAACTTCAGTAAATAAATAACCATCAAAATTATGGTCTTACGTATTGATAGTCAAGATGAATTGATGAATATTTTTTTTTTCAAGAAGACATCGCAATTGATGAAGTCCGACACTTGAATTTTCCGCTTTGACCACACAAGTGCAATCTCCAGAAAACAAAATTTTTCTAAAAACAAAATGTATTGAGGATTCGGTGCTAATGAACCGTTATTTTTTATGAATTGTTTGGAAATCGCCGGTTTAATTCATTGATTAATATGCTTATGAGAGCAAAGTAAGTATTTGTGCAGAATTCCCGAGCAATAGACATTTTCTGAAGATATCGAAGACAAGAGTCAACAAGAAGCTCCTGTAATTAACGTGACAGAAAGCGTCGTCGGACTTTTTCTAATTGCACATCAATAACAATCATTTAACACGAACTACATCTGGCCAGATACTTTCCCATGAATTTTCAAAGCGTTTTTCCTGAACTTCAGATAGGACTGACTTACCAGGATCCAAAGCAGAAGCCAGCTGAGGTTGAGGGGACTGAAGGTGGTCAAATAGTAATTTTGAGATTTGCTGTGAAGTTGTCATCATTGTAAGAGTGATTATGAATGACAAATCATTGACTCTATATGTCCCTTGCTTCAGTTACTCTGTGTGTGCTTGAAGTTTTCTTAATATCAATTTGGGTAGCAGAAATTGCTGGTAATGTTAATTTAACAGCAGAACAATCAGTATGTAGACAGGAAAATCTCTGGTATGATAACAAGTAAAGTAACATATTGGCAGAAGATACCGACACACAATACAGCATTTGGAATTTGTTAAGAGTTAGTGAGGTCACATTTGAGTAGCCAGCCGAGTCAGGGAGGTTAAGTGATGAGAAATTAACCTCATTCAGGTACAAAATATCGACCAAGAAGGGAATACTGGTTAGGTGATCACAATATTCAGAGCGTTGTATTAGAGAGTGTCATGTATTTAACAATTTTCAACTAAATGAATGACATATGTTAATTTCTGTAAAAATATCTACCATTTGCAAACATTCTCTTGCACTAATGACTTATTAGTTTCCGTAAAAGAATGTTCTGCATTAGAAATATCTAGGGATGTTAATCGTTCATTATTATATTAGCTTAAATGATTATTTCTAAAGCAGTGCAAAAATAATGAAAGAAATTCTAAAGCTAAACAGATTTCCATGTTACAATAAAATATATTTGACTATTTCAAAGTCTTGGATAACTTTATACAATTAAATAAAAAAAAGTAATTTCCCAAGTGGAGACATGAACAACAATGTTTTCTGTGTTGTGTTGCAGTGGCCGGAATGTTCGTCACCTTCTGCAGTATACCGGGTCAAGGATTCCAGTCAGAATCGTGCAATAACAATTACTTTTACATCAAAGGCATCACGGTAATATCTTTCAATCTCCAAGTGACACATTTTCATGTTTCCTTCCAAATTTTCACTATTCTCTCTGCTTTATCTTTGCATCTATTCTTCCACTGCACCTCACGTTATTGTGGGAATGTAGTAGTTGGGAACAACTCCCAACAACTATAACTTAACTAAACTAACAAGCCCTGGTAAGTGAAACCGACACTATCTTGTCATTTCCTGAGATATGCTTGAGAGTGATGTAGTGTTGTAGTATTAAACCCAGTTTATTAGAAGAAGGTTCTTATTCCACACCAGTACTTTTTGTTGCAGGTCTACAGAACAGGGTTGCTCAGTTCTAACAGCCCCCAACGATGTTGCAAGACCGGTATATATATATATATATATATATATATATATATATATATATATATATATATATATATATATATATATATATATATATATATATATATATATATATATACATATATATATATATATATATATATATATATATATATATATATATATATATATATATATATATATATATATATATATATATATATATATATATATATATAATTTTTTTTTCAACAAGTCGGCCGTATCCCACCGAGGCAGGGTGACCCAAAGAGAAAGAAAATCCCCAAAAAGAAAATACTTTCATCTTCATTCAATACTTTCACTTCACTCACACATAATCACTGTTTTTGAAGAGGTGCCCAGAATACTACAGCTTAGAAGTATATACGTATAAAAATACACGATATATCTCTCCAAACTGCCAATATCCCAAACCCCTCCTTTAGAGTGCAGGCATTGTACTTCCTATTTCCAGGACTCAAGTCCGGTTATATAAAATAACCGGTTTCCCTGAATACCTTCACTAAATATTACTAAATATAACAGATCGTCAGGTTCCAAATACTATTTGTCTCCATTCACTCCTATCTAACACGTTCACGCACGCTTTCTGGAAGTCCAAACCCCTTGCCCACAACACGTCCTTTACCCCCTCCCTCCAACCTTTTCGTGGACGACCCCTACCCCGCCTTCCTTCCCCTACAGATTTATACGCTCTCCATGTCATTCTACTTTGATCCATTCTCTCTAAATGACCAAACCACCTCAACAAACCCTCTTCAGCTCTCTGACTAATACTTTTATTAACTCCACAAACTTCTCCTAATTTCCACACTCCGAATTTTCTGCATAATATTTACACCACACATTGCTCTTAGATAGGACATCTCCACTGCCTCCAACCGCCTCCTCGCTGCAGCATTTACAACCCAAGCTTCACACCCATATAAGAGTGTTAGTACTACAATGCTTTCATACATACCCTTCTTTGCCTCCATAGATAACATTTTTTGCCTCCACATATACCTCAATGCACCACTCACATTTTTTCCATTATCAATTCTATGATTAACCTCATCCTTCATAAATCCATCCGCTGAAACGTCAACTCCCAAATATCTGAAAACATTCACTTCTTCCATACTCCTCCTCCCCAATTTGATATCCAATTTTTCTTTATCTAAATCTATGTTTACTTTCAACTTTCTACCTTTACACATATTCCCAAATTCGTCCACTAACCTTTGTAATTTTTCTTTAGAATCTCCCATAAGCACAGTATCATCAGCAAAAAGTAACTGTGTCACTTCCCATTTTGTATTTAATTCCCCATAATTTAATCCCACATCTCTCCCGAACACCCTAGCATTTACTTCTTTTACAACCCCATCTACAAATATATTAAACAACCATGGTGACATTACACATCCCTGTCTAAGACCTACTTTAACCGGGAAGTAGCCTCCCTCTCTTCTACACACCCAAACCTGAGCCTCACTATCCTCATAAAAACTCTTTACAGCATTTAGTAACTTACCACCTATTCCACATACTTGCAACATCTGCCACATTGCTCCCCGATCCACTCTATCATATGCCTCCTCTAAATCTATAAATGCAATAAAAACTTCCCTACCTTTATCTAAATACTGCTCACACATATGCTTCAATGTAAACACTTGATCTACACATCCTTTACCCACTCTAAAACCTCCTTGCTCATCCGCAATCCTACATTCTGTCTTACCTCTAATTCTTTCAATAATAACCCTACCGTACACTTTTCCTGGTATACTCAGTAAACTTATTCCTCTACAACTTTTACAATCTCTTTTGCCCCCCTTCCCTTTATATAAAGGGACTATACACGCTCTCCGCCAATCCCTAGATACCTTCCCCTCTTTCATACATTTATTAAACAAAAATACCAACCACTCCAACACTATGTTCCCCCCTATTTTTAACATTTCTGACATGATCCCCTCAGTTCCAGCTGCTTTGCCCTTTTTCATTCTACGTAATGCCTCACGCACCTCCCCCACACTCACATCCTGCTCTTCTTCACTCCTAAAAGATGATATACCTCCCTGCCCAGTGCATGAAATTACCGCCTCCTTTTCTTCGTCGATATTTAAAAGTTCCTCAAAATATTCTCGCCATCTACCCAAAACCTCCATCTCCCCATCTACTACTCTCATTCTCTGTTTTTAACTGATAAATCCATTTGTTCCCTAGGCTTTCTTAACTTTTTTAACTCACTCCAAATTTTTTTCTTATTTTCATTAAAATTCCTTGACAGTACCTCTCCCACTCTATCATCCGCTCTCCTTTTGCACTCTCTCACCACTCTCTTCACCTTTCTTTTACTCTCCATATACTCTACTCTTCTTATAACACTTCTGCTTTGTAAATGCCTCTCATAAGCTGCCTTTTTCTCTTTTATCACACCCTTTACTTCATCATTCCACCAATCACTCGTCTTTCCTCCTGCAACCACCCTCCTATAACCACAAACTTCTACCCCATATTCTAATACTACATTTTTAAAACTATTCCAACCCTCTTCAACCCCCCCCCCCACTACTCATACCTGCACCAGTCCACCTTTCTGCCAATAATTACTTATATTTCACCCGAACTTGCTCCTCCCTTAGTTTATACACTTTCACCTCCCTCTTACTTGTTGCCATTTTGTTTGTTTACTATTAAATTTTTGTAAACCTATTTAAAACATATTTAGTTGGATTAGGCTAAATTAAATTGCGCTTGTTATTATAAGGTTTGGTAAGTTTTCTCATGTTTTTTAATACAAAATTGTTAATATTTACATTAACAAAAATGAAAAACAATATATCTTTAAACGTATAAGAGAAAGATTTAGAAAGGACTTAATTTTAAATGAGTTCTTGCTAATTGACCAATTTTAACTATTCGGCACAACATATATATATATATATGGACTCACGAAATCGTAATGTCACGATGGCAAACAAATCATACTGCCGGCGGGGTTTGAACCCGTGGTTAGAGAATCCTAAAACTCCAGACCGACGTCTTAGCCACTGGGCCAGCTTGCTACAATATGATTGATCCAACTAGGTATATTTATACACCATAGGAAACTTAGGTTACGACCCTCTTACCCCTTATTCAAGCCTCGCCCGTGGTATAGTTTGTTTGCAATCGTGTCATTAAGATTTCGTGAGTTATTGAGGGGCTTTGTGGGAACTTGAGCTAGAATTCGTCACGGCCAAGCTGGCGGGAGATTCGTCTGTAAAAACTTACGTTTGTGGTCTCCGTGGTGCCTATCCTAACCTTCCTATGGTGTATAAATACACCTAGTTGGTCGAATCTTATTGTAGCAAGCTGGCCCAGTGGCTACCACCTCGTTATGACGGGTTCAAGTCCCGTCCGTGGTGTGATTTACATATATGGACACTTTTTTCTAATGTGAATAAATTATCAAATTCCTTTTCTTCGTTTTTCTGTTTACTTTTTTCTTCATGCTTGTCATATGTTCGCAGTTCCGCATTTTGTGGTCGACTCTCTTCTTTGGGCCGACAGTACTCATCGCTATGGTGTACTGCCACATCTTCCACTTGTTGAAGCATCGCGCCATCTACCTGGTCAGTGCAGAACAGAGGAATCAGCTCAAGCGCAACATTAAGGTATGTTTCTTTAATATGAAAAGTAAATCATTCTTTATAAAAATGGTGATAAATGATTATTATTGATTCTGCAAGAGGACGGCGCAGCGAGAGGACTAAGACCCAAAGTTACATTTTTTTTTATCCTGTGTTCTAGTTTGATCAGAGCTGAGAGGAAAACTTGCTTGCTGTCCCTTCGAGCCCCATCCCTTCAAGAGTGAAAGGCTGTAACTAGCTTGCTAGTTCCCGCCTCTCTCAACCCCACCACCTCCTCCTACCCCATCCTAACCCCTCCCCATTCCCCAATAATTTCACTGGCCAAATCCCGCTCACGCTACTTAAACTGTTGTCCTTCTATTTTTCCTGTCTTGCCTTGTATTAAATTGCCTCTGGCGATTTAATACAAGGCAAGAGGATAGGCAAGACAGCCTATCCTCACTCCTCGAGGATAGGCTGTCTTAGGGGCTGACCATAAGTCACCTGAAGCAAGAATGGATAGGAGTGACGTATAGGAAAGTTCTTCTTAGTACCGCATAATTATGTGTCAGTTATACCTTACGGGGCATCAAGCCGAGAATAAGAGTAAGAATTCGTGTCACTGATAACCAGAAGTCCAAGAAGGAAATACTTGATTGTAATTGTTCCAATTCCACTGTTGCATCAGTGGATGTATTCCAAACTCACTCTGGTGCAGTACTTCTACTCTCCTCTGAAGAGGAGATGCTCCAGTTGCTCAAGAATGATGTTCTTGAAAAATTATATAATCTGGGTATCAAGCCCATTCTACCAGAGAGCTACCAGGCACAACGTATTGTATTTGTGGCAAGAAGCAACAGTTTCATAAGACACTGCACTGCTGAAGAACTTGTTGAAGAAATTAATCAAGAAAATTCCGAGTTCAAGTTTCTTAAGGCATATAAGTTTGATAAAAGTTCAAGCATCCAGCAAACATTATAATTAATTCTGGAGACACCGGAAGGAGCCAAAATCATATGTGAAAATGGTATGAAATGCTTTGGAACTAGGTGTACACCAGCCCAGATCTCCATGGAAAGGTTTGTCAGTGTCACTTAATGTTTTAAGTATTGCGAGTTTGGTTATAACGCAGTCCGTGAAAACATGCTCTGGTGAGCATGTTTTCATGGACTGCCCTAACAGAAACAACCCCAAGTGTGCCCTTTGTAAAGGGAAACATCATGCTGTCTCCCATAGCTGCCCTGTCAGGAAATCTACAAATCAGCAAGTTCAGGTTGGTAAGAAACAGGAAAACTCCAAGAAAACCACTCCCGAACCACCTCCAAAAATGTCTCAGGACTCCTTTCCTAATATACCTGGATCTAGTGGGACTCCTACTACCACCTCTACCAAATATAATGTTTGGAATTCTGCCCCTCCTGCAGGGCCCCACCCTAACCCTAACACCGATGTGCACCAAGCCCAAGGACCATCATCAATCCCTATGTCTCCCTGGTCCTCAGGAGTAGATGTTTTGAGAGGTACACTGATGTTCATGTTAGCCAAGTAGATAGCAAGTACCAATGTTAAGCTTTGCTCCTCCATTTTAGATGAATTGTAGGTAGCAAATGGAGCCAGGCCCTTAATCATCCCAAATAATGTGAATACGATAATGAACCAGCCCCCTAAATACAGGAAGTATGTGCCTTAATCAGCAACCACACATTATCAAACCTCATCACACAACCAAGGCCCACCATAACGGAAGACCCAGGTGAAATAACAACTCATACCAGTGAGTTAATAACTGCTCCTGAACTTGCACCAGACAGTGATGCACAATCTGCCGCTGTAGAAGCTGACCCAAAAGTACAATTAGTGTCCAATGATACCCCAAGTGGACTAGTACATTTCCACATGGAGCCCCCACTGTCTCCTATAGTAAGTAGTGTGAATTTGCCGACTGAGGCTGTGAATGACACGCCACAGCTGTCAGATGAGTCTGATGCATCAGTTAATATCACCAGCAACAGTGAGGAAGATCAATATCCGGTACACAGAAAACCACCCAAGACTATAATCCTTCCCTTGACGAGTCAAGTAGGGATAGCTTGCACACACCTTGCAGCTATAATCTCAGACACCAACTCTCTGTACGTAGCAAAAACGCAAACTACACGAAATAATAGGGATTACAATTTTACAAATTAACATTCAACATTTCTTTAACAACTGTACAATCACAACCCTGACATCATCCTTCTGAGCCGACCAATATGAAGATACTAGGTTACTCTACGGTTGAGAAATTGAGAGGGCCACTTAGTGAAGTGGCCGTCCTAGCGAAACTAGGATATGCATTTCGTAACATCGACATTGACGAAGACGACATTATAGCAATAGAACTGACGACCACATCTGGTCAGTTAATAGTTGGAACTGGATACTTTCCTTCAAGACGGCTATATATAGTCCATTCCCCTACAACAAATACTGAGTAGAAATGTTCCAACAATCTTGGCAGGAGACTTTTATGCCCATCAGCCCACACTCTTCAACTGATGCGCCGACCGTCCTCTGGGTGACCTAAAAGGAAAACTACTATTTAATATAATGACAGCAAGAAATCTATCATTCCAAGGCCCATTCTTTAAGTCATATGTCAACCCTCACCCGGGGACACCTGATATAGTCTTAAACAACAGAGATTGTGACCTATACCATTGCAGAGTTTCCCCTGGTGGAAACGTAGGATCAGACCACAACCCTGTTAAATTAACACTACAGGCATCATTTAGAATACCCACTCCTCCGAAACCCAACCTAAAAACTGTAGGATATGACCCCTTCAGGTACTACCTATGCAAAGACCTTACTGTTTCGCTTGAGAATCAGCCTTCAACTGCAATTAACGAGGCAATCAGCTACTTCCACTAAAGAATTATACAGGCCACTCATGCATGTTGTCAATTAAATACATGAAAGAGCTATCGGCAATATGAACCAACCAGCGAAATTATGGACTGCGTGAAAAATTATCAAGCAGAGTGTAGAAGGCACCACCATACGAGACAGCCCACAATGGCTATACTGCAGAGGTTGAGAAGGGAATTAATTATCCTAATCACACAACACAAAAGTAAAATATGGGAATATCTTGTTCATCAAACTAATCAATTCAAACGTCAACCTGAAAAGTTCTGGAGCAAGATGCGCCAGCTTCTAGGGGTCAAGCACAAACCTACCAATTACCTAATACATTCCTTCACCGACGACGATGATGATGAAGTGGATATCAGACTTAATGACCCACAAGACCAAGCCAATCTGATGGGTTATATGTGGGGAAAAAATATATCACACAATGATAGTAGAAGATTTAACAATAACCATTACCAGTGGGTTAACGAATGGAGAGACGACAACCGAGGTGACCTCCAGCCAATACAATTAATCGATACATCTACCTTTGCAGATGAACACCCCTTTACAAGACCAGCCATACTCAGAGAGATGAGTCAAGTCATAGACAGAATGAATAATAAAGCCCCTGGCTTCCCAGGTACAATAGTGAAACAATTAAAGGTCTTACACCGAAATTGCAAAAGTCTCTAGTAAATAACTTTAATGCCATCTTGGCCTCGAGACACTTTTCCGTGGCACTTAAGACAGCAAGGATGATATTCTTTGCAAAACCCGACAAAGACAAACATAAACCGGAGAACCAGAGACCTATCTCCCTATTGGAAGTCACTGGTAAAGTCTTTGAGAAAATAATTTCCATTATATTCAACTACTACATGGAGTACTGAAAAACAGTTTGGATTTAGGACCCACAGAGGAACCCAACACTCTGTCAATGTCATCTTCGATGACGTGGACAGCCTGAGGAAACAAGGAAACCTTGCCGTAATTGCAGCTAGGAATGTATACAAAGCTTTTGATAGCCTTTGTCTCACCGGACTCATATTTAAACTTGCCGTCCTTCCGGACCACAACAGGACTTTTCTCAGATTCATATACAGCTTCTTATCAGTAAGAAAAATCATCCCTACCTTTATCGGCAAGTCGGCAGAGCCTTTCAAACCAACAGCTGGAGTGCCACATGGCTCGTGCCTTAGCCCGAAACTCTTCAACATATATGTAAACTATCTCCCTCAACCCGAGGTCAACGATATTTTCACCCAATTTGCTGGTGATGTTATCCATGTAGTGTCATCCAGCCATAATGGGAAAACTTAAGCATTGAGGGTAATAAAAAAAATGAATACGGAATTTCAAAGAATAGCATACTGGGAGAAGAAATGGAGAATCACGCCCAACCCAGACAAACTCCTCATCAGCACCGTCGGATGTTTTGCAACAACTATAGAAGACAAGGGGGTATCTCCATCAGGGGTACACCTATTGTCGTTAGAAACCCGAGCAAGCTCCTGGGATATGAGATATACAGATTACTCCACTCCACATCTCACATCTCTAAAAATGTGAACTTTTCCAAAGCCCGCCTCAGCAAATTATACAGGTGTAATCAAGCCCCTTCCCACTTAAGAAACACATGTTCAAGATGACCTATTCTTGAATATCCTTGTGTACTCACGTCATTTACAACTAAATCCAAAATGCTACAGCTACAAAGTGTCCAGAAGAGAGCATTCCTCTTTATCACAGATACCAGGAGGAGAGGTTGGTAGGTAAGACACCTTGGCAACTTTATGCGTATGTGTCTTACCTACCAACCTGTCGGTATTGTATACCATTTTGATATTCACCAGGAGAAGAGACTGAATCAGGATGGAAGATCTATACACATCCACAGGAGATAGATGCAATAAATGTCAGGCTTGAAAAACTAAAGAAGAGACAACTATACGACATGCAAAAACTCTATATACCAGGCAGAGAAAACCCTCCCCAGCCAACAAACACCACCGATTACACCATCAACACACCTGCCAAAATAACCCAAAGAATAACCCTCTAACAAAGAGAGCGACGCTTCATCCACAAGAATAATGTCCAGACACGAATAATCATGAGTGACCTCCCAGAAGATATAGATAAAT